AGTGCGAGGAGTCGGAATGTCAAGGGCGTCAGGGTCACCCTCAGGGGTGAGGAGCATGGCACAGAGATGAGGGGAAGCGGCTGCCAGGAACTCTAGCTCAAACTGCCTGTCCTCTAGGACGTCACAGCCAAGGGCAGACACACCCCCGACGGCCAGAGGACTGGTAGGAGGAGCAGCCACAAGAGTGGTGGCGTAGTCAAGGCGGCGAGTAGAGGCAAACTCAGTGACCGCGGCAGTAAGAGCAGAGACAGAGGACAAAGAGGCACGAGGGTGGGTAACAAGAGAGGCGAGAACACGAGAGAGAACAGGACGGTACGTGCGGTAGTAGTCAGTGACAGGGGTAGAGAGAGAAGCTGTGAGGGCCGACTCAGGAGGAGAAGGAAGCACAGGAGGAGCCGAACGAGACGGACTAGAACGTAACAAGACAGTACGAAGGTCAGTGAAAGGAACAGGGGACGAGGGACGAGCACGAGGAGAGCGACGAGTAGCCCAAGTACGAGACGGAGGAGGAGAGGACAAAGGCGGAGAACTGGGGAAAACAGCGGGGGAGGAGTCAGGAGGAGGAAACGTGGGACCGTAGACAGGAGGAGAGGCGGGGGAGGGAGGAGAAGGAGAGGGGAGACCAAGGGTCCGAAGACCTGAGACAGGAGGAGGAAGTGGCTGCTGCTGCTGCTGCTGCTGGTGCTGCTGCTGCTGCTGCTGCTGCTGCGGCTGCGGCTGCTGCTGGGACTGCTGCTCCTGCGGCTCCAGCTGCTGCTGCTGTTGCTGCTGCTGCTGCTGCTCCTCCAGCTGCTGTAACTCCCTCTCCTCTCTCTCCAACGCCAGCTGCTCCTCACGGGCACGGCGAACACGAGCCTGGTGCCTAGTCGGGTAGGGGTGGGGGGGCGGAGTAGTGTCCGGAGCAGCGGCAGCTCCAGAGTCCACCCCCGAAGGACCAGGCACACCACCCCCAGAGGCAGCACTAACACCAGCTCCAGACCCAGGCTCACCAGAACCCGAAGGAGGCGCACCCTCACCCCCAGACAGAGCACCCCCAGTGTCCGCGCGACCAGCACCAGCTCCCGGAAGACAAGAGTCCTCTGCACCCACCGGCTCAGCTCCAACTCCAGCACCCCCAGAACTAGAAACCGGTACTGGAACAGGCTCGGCACCAACCTCTCGAGAGCTAGCACCTGCGGCACGCTGCGAGGAGGACTGTGGGGAGGGAGGCTGTACCGGAGGGGCTACCGAAGGAGGAGGGGTAGCCTGGGACACACCTGACGGGGCTGGACCAGGGGGGGGAGGCTGTACCGGGGGAGCAGGAGGGGGAGCGGCAGTCAGGAAGAGGGGGGGAGGAGGAACCGGGAGACCTCGACCGGGGTGCCTGGCGAAGTACGGGGTGGACTCCTCGAAACGGACGTCACGGGAGTCAAAGAACCGGTGAGAGGGAGGGTGGTAAAAGGTGAAGTCAGAGGAGTCCTCAGGGAAACCAAGGAAGACACAGGGGACGGCGCGAGGCGAGAGCTTGTCCGCAGAGGTGTCGCGGACAAGAGCCAAGCAACCCCAGACACGAAACCTCGACGCAACACCAGGGGACCCGGTCCAAAGACTGGTCGGTGAAGCCTCTGGCCGAGAGACGCGTGGCCAGAGGTTCAGCTGGTGCGCGGCGTACCGAACCGCGTAAGGCCACAGAAAATGGGGGGCACGGGCGTGAGTCAGGGAGGTGCGGGCGATCTCCATGACCAAGCCTATGCGGCGCTCAGCAACCCCATTCTGCTGCGGGGACTCTGGAAGCGTCCAGGACTGACGAATGCCCTGCTCGCGACAGAATCCAGCGAGAATGCCGGAGTGAAGACAGCTGACACGACGACCACGAGTGTCCGCGGTGGTGAGCAACCACCTGATCAGCGTAGAAGTCACCTCAGACTTCTTCGCCAGGGGGAACACCGTGGTGTAGCGGGAGTAGTCGTCAACAACCACCAGAAAGAAACGCTCACGCTCAGGGCCAAGGCGAGAGGCGGGGCCCCAGACATCTAGGTGAAGCGTCTCAAACGGCTCGGTGGCCGGACGAAGGGAGGAGGAGTGAGGGGTGGCGCGCAGCCGACCCTCGACGCAAGGACCGCACGGTGGTGCAAGAGACGGCGGCAGCGACGGCAAGACACGCGGGAGACCTAAGACCAGACGCTGACTAGACATAGCACGCAGACGTGGAAGAGAAGGGTGTCCCATCCGGTGGTGCCACAGAACGGTGGGGTGGGCAAGCGACCGACAGGAGCAAGACGCAGCGACTGGACTGGACGCGACAACCTGAGGGGACGGAACCACCTGGTGAGACGCAGGGAGGAGACTAGGGGGAGGGACAGGAACTGGGAGTAGGGGCTGCTGCGACGGCGGCCGCTGCTGCTGCTGCTGCTGCTGCTGCTGCTGCTGCTGCTGCTGCTGCTGCTGCGTCCACTGCCGTGCGCGCGGGCCAGTGTGAAGAGTGTAGAGACCGGAACCCGGCTCAGCAGCAAAGGTGGCGAGAGGCTGGTAAGAGTCACCGTCAACACACACTGCAGTCTCCCCAGAAGGCTCAAACCACACACCCACGTGCTGACTCACGAGGGGTCGCACGCCCACCAAGTTCCGGGAGAACGAGGGGACATGAAACCCAGTGAGAGACCCGGAGGGGGCAGCAGGACACGGCAAAGTGGTAGTGTGACGTGCAGTGACTGGTCCCGAGGTGGGATCAGCCAGTGCCACAGAGACAGGCGCAGGAAGTGGCGTAAGTGTCGTGCTGTCACGAAAGAAGCAGTGCGAGGCTCCAGAGTCCAGCGTGAAAGACAGTGAAGTGTCCTCCGAGGTAGCCGCTGGACTAGTGTCTACACAAGAACCTACACTAGCAACAGGCAACTGAGCAAGGCTAGCACCTAAGCTAACAACACCAGAGTAAACAGAGTCAGAAACACTAGAGTCAACAACAGCATACATAGCATGAGGAGTTCCAATCAGATCAGCTAACTGCTCGGCAGACATGTCCCACAGAGCGGAACCGTAACGCTGAACAAGGGGGAACCAGTCAGGGGCAGGACCGCCAACCCCGTAAACCAAACGAACCGTGTCAGTGAGCTGAGCAAAACACTGACCAGGGGGGTGAAGGCGGCCACAAGGGTGGCCCCGGCGAGCACCTGTCAGAACCTGATAGGCGCAGGGAGGGTAAACAGCACCACGCTGCGGCTGACGCGGCCCCGACCCCGAAGCCAGCTGCGGCCGCTGCTGCTGCGGAGGCTGCTGGGAGGAGAGGGGCTGCTGCTGCTGCTGAAGCTGCTGCTGACGCTGGGCCCGGTACCACGCCGCTGCCCCACCCACCGGGGCTGGCAGTACAGGGGGCGACTGACGAACGCGGGCGTCGCCACCACCAGCAGTCGCAGTGGAGTCACCGGTCGCTGCACGAGACGTCTCTCCAGGCCCTGCACTCCCACCACCGCCAGTCGCAACGCCACCCCCACTACCTCCGCCTCCACCAACGCCGCCACCAGCACCGCCCCTCTTGCCACCCCTACCGCGGGACCGCGACGAAGTCGTAACAGCAGCTGCGGTCGCGTCAGTAGCGGCAGTGGCGAGAGAGGCAGTAAAGGTGGGCAACTGCGGAACTGTGCACCCGTGGAAGAGCGGAGGGGGCACAGCACCAGAGGCAGCGGCGACGGAGCGGAGGTTGCTCTCGACGTCCTTGAGAGCAGACTCAAGGACGTCAACAGTGAGCTCACTAGGGTGCTTCAGGAGAAGCGCGTCACGAACGGAAGCAAGGTGGTCGGGGAGGCTGGTGGCGATAAAATAGATAGTAATCGCCATGGGAGGAGGAAGCAGTGCGAGCTGGGCCTCAGTGCAAGCAGCGCGGTAACTAGAGTCGAGCGAGCGGAGGTGAGCAATCAAGTCAGCAGAGCGCTCAAAAGAGGCGAGATCAGGGAACAGGAACGGGAGGAAAAGGCGGCCAAGAGAGACAGCAGCAGGAGTGGAGTAGCGGGCCTTAATCGCAGTCAGGTACTCAGCAGCAGTGCGAACCTGAGCAAAGTGAGCCTCCTCAGACTCGGGGAGAAGGGTGCTGAGCGCGATGCAGGCCGCAGCGTCACGCGACGTCCAGGCTGTCAGGTCAGCGCGCTGGCTAGCGAAGCGAGCTCTAGCGGCGTCGTCAGGGGCAGGACCTAAAGGCGTAGGGTCGGGGGGCGCAGGGAGGGCACCAGCAGCGTGCGCCCAGAGGGTCTCGCCTGACTGGACCTGACTCTCCAACTGACGGCGAGCGCGCAGAAGCCAGAGCGAAAAGTTAAGGAGTCTACCGTCAGCGTCGAAGCGAAGAACACGCGGAGTCGCCATCGTTAAAACCGACGGAAAAGCGGAGGCAGGAAACCCTAAACGAGATGGCGTGGCGAAAATCGGGCGGGCAAAGGGCGAAGCGTGAAACCCTAAACGAGGTAGAGGCGCAGCTAAACGGGGGGGGCGTTAAGGGGCAGCCGCACGGGGGCTAAGGGCAGCCGCGCGGGGGCGGACGTTAAGGGGCAGCCGCGCGGGGGCTAAGGGCAGCCGGGCAGAAAGGATACAGTTATAACCACTTTTACTGTTCCTGTTGCGGTTCGATACAGTGACGACTCGGGCAACTGCTTTGTAGCGAGTCAGTTGTGTGTCCTTGCTGTCGCGCTGTACTTGTCAGGTCAAAGGTCGCTGACCTTTGACTTTCGCGTAACCTCCAGCAACCTCTCAACCTCCGAGGGTTGACTCGCCAGTGCTTCTATATGATTCACTTCGCTTCTGGTGCGGTGTTTCGACACGACAGAGGCGCTTAAGATTCATTGTTTCCAATCCGACACTTTCAAATGTATACTTCTGCTTGTTCAAGAACGTTGAATGTACTTGGGTTTGAAATTAACAAATGCAGTTCCGTGTTTCAAGTGACTAGCTTTAGAGCAGCAGCAAGAAAGGGAAGAATGGCGCTTTAAACCACGAGAAACCCATCAAAGCACCTTATTGTTACAGAAAGAGACTACATTCTAGGCTGTGCCACAGCCATTTGGCGGGCGTATAGGGCATATATTTGCGATGCTTTCATGAAGTAACGTGGCCACATCGAGGTGTTGCTCTCTTTCAAACTTCGTCTTCAATGCATTTAGAGTGGGTTTAGGAGGCGCAGCTAGACCCTGCTGGAGAACCCTGATGATGTCTCCAACACTCGAGGCATTGTATCCCACAAAAAACTGCACATAACAAAGCAACACGGTGGTTCTTTAAAAACATTTCCCAGTAATCTCCCTCCGAACCATGGAATGGAGGAGTACACACCTGAATGCTTGAAGCCCATGATGTGCCTTTCAGAACTGATGCAGCAAGCAGAACGGTCGCTGCTGAGATTGCGGATGGGTGATACTTGAGAAGATCATACTCCAACAATGAAGAGCACGCAATGTAATCGGCCATCTGTTCCAGCTTGGCATCAGCATCAACCGCCTTCAGATGATGCCTGAAAGAATCATACCAAAACCAAGTCACCCAATGAGTACTGGATATTGTGTGAGAAACAGGTAAACCAACTGAAGTTCTGAAACTGGACACAGGGACCAGTACGTACCACAAAAATGTGTGGACGGTCGGCATAGCACAGTCGAACTTGATTGTCTTCAGCACATCAAACTCTTTCTGCAGCACCTGTTCTTGAGTGAAGCTTCCCTCTGCTGCCTGACAGCAACATTGAACCATGCTGCAGTAACCCGAAAAAAATATCGTAAGCAAGTGGAACACAATGGAAATGCAAAAACTAGTTTAAGGAAGAAAAGAGAATCGGATCTTAGCACTCACTTTGGTGGCTGCGACTCCTGGAACTTCACCGCAACGAGCATACAGGCAGTTCCTAGCAATTGAAGATCACCAGTTTGAACTGGAGGCCCTTCAGCCAGGACACGGTCCAGAATGCTCACTCCAAGGGACAACGTCTCACATTGAAGCTCAAACTCTTCAGCAAACTGCAAATCACAGAAATCGAGTCAGATCAAATCCATGGACTTGAAATCTTGTTGCGAAAGGCTTCGAACGTCGTTCTTACCTCGACGAGCCAGTTGACCATGATGCGTCTGTGATCAGGTAAGAGGTTCTTCTGGGACAAACCTATGTACCCCCATGAAGACTGAACTTGCTGTTCCTTCAGAAGAAGATTATTCCATATTTCCGTATCGTACACGGCCGTTGCCTGCAAAGTCAGAGAAAGGTTTTTGTGTCAGCTCTTGACAATCATAGAACAAATAATCACAGAGGACGGATTTGAATGCCTCACCTTGTTCACAACGCCGGGATCATTGATATCGCGTGCTGGTTGCGATTTAGGGGAGCTGTTTCTGGCATCCGACGGGCAAGGAGAAGTAACAATAGTCTCTTTACAGCCAATCGACTCTACAGACCGCTGACGCTTGGGAGATGGATGAACGACGGTTGTTAAGTCATCGTCATCTTCGTCTAACTGCTCTTCGCATGTGACACCAGGCAGCATGCGACTCGATCCTCCGGCAACCGGAGCAAAATCCGTCTTTTGAGTCGCGAACGACGAATCAGGATTCGCAGGGTCCCGTTCGACGATTCCGGAAACAGTTTGCGTCCTTGCTCTTGATACGTGGCATCTGGTACGTTCCAACCTGCACTCAGCCACGGACGGAGATGCCGTTGAACGCGTCCCATCAGCCCCTACCTCAGCAACCGACACAGACTCCTGTGAAGGGCAAAAAGCCTCCTGTTCAGCGAAACGACCAGATGACTCTTCATTGTGGGTGGAAATGTTCCCCCTAGCGTCCCGTTTAATGCCGATCGTTTGCGTTGATCCCTGAACGAAAGAGGTTGCTGCTAAGTCCAACGGATCAGCGTCAATTCTGGAAGCGTAGTCTCTTCGTCGACGAACAGACATCGACTCCACTCGGCGTAGTTGGCAAGCCGTTGCTACGAGTACTTCCACGGATCCCATTAATGCATGTGTGCTAGCAAGGTTTGGAAGCAGTGATCAGGAGGGCGAAGAAGGAAGCCCTAAGCAAAACCAGAGGGGGCGAACAGATGACTAATCTCGTTTGTCACTGTTCGACAGTAGGAAGCCTGCTGGAGAAAAGGTTATGAGCTGTGGGAATTTGAAAGTCAGGCGGGAAGCGTGTATGGCTGGCTGGAGGGAGGAAGATAGTTTGATGAGGGTGACGAATTCATGCGGAATTCAGTGCCATCCCACCGTCACAAGTATCCCGCATGCATGCCCTGCAGAACTTCTGGCTGGTATCCATCAACCGCCTGTCTGCTTCTTCGGGAACCTCCTCGAATTCCATGTCGGGATTGACCGCACCTCGCTGTCCCTCCGCCATGACCATTCCCCATCAAACCCGACAGCCAATCAAAAGGCACAGTTTACCATTCATGCCATGCCATCCAGTCGCACCATACCACAGCACTGCACCCAGCCAGTTTTGAACTGCCGCCATTGGCTAAGACTTGCAGATTTCAAGCATACAGTTGCTGTTCCGCAACACAACGAAGCGACCCTTGGGGGGGATGCATGCCACTGCCATACCAGATCGGTTTGGTAAAGGAGGGAGGCCCAACCAAATAAGCGGCTTTCCCCTTCCCATCGCTGGTTCGCCAAGGACTTCCCTTCTGATCCATTCCGCCGCGTTTCATGGATTCGCGTCCTATCTGTCGCATGCCGTCCAACTTCTGCGACCATTTTACGACGACAATTGCGGTCGCAGAGTCGTGGGCAAGAGCAATTGGAAAGCAGTTGCGTGGTTTAGCGACACCGGGATTGATTGAAGTTGCCCACCTGGGCACGGATAGAATCACCAACATAACACTTTATCCACCATTTCACCGGGACTGATTAATTTTCATACCATAGTGATAATATTCTAAAAACGTGCTTTATTCAAAGTGGAAGAAGAGGAATATGAAACAAGAAGCATGTATAGTAATAAAATAAATACTCTATTTTAGCTGTTTATTCTCAAAATCCCATAAAATCTAAATAATAATGATTTAAAACTATATAATTTTATAGTTAATATCCATATATTTATATTTTTTAAGTTCATATGTTGTAGGTATTTTCTTTAGATGTATCTGTATTCTATAACAACAAATTGCTATTCAAATTACTAAATTATCCTACTTGACATATAAATTACAATCATACATGATAATTAATACGAGACAATCTACCACCAAATACAACATTGAAAACAGGCACCATGCCCAAGCTTGGGTCATTCTGCTTCGCGCTACATCATTTATCGAAGGAGTAGACATTGATCTGGTGGACAGGGAGTGGACAGGGGGAGCCATGCGAATGAAGGCCCAGTATTACTCCGTAGTTCAAGTTTAAAACAAAAGTACAAATCAGGATACAAGGTGTACGAACAGCAAACAATCACTTCCGTGTGTGCGCAAGGTGTACAGTTCCGGACCTCCTGCCTAGCCACGCGGGCCCAAGGCATACTCTTCACAAAAATCTAACCCGGGGCGTTGTGTCGCCCATACCGTCGTCCTGGGAGTTTGCTCGACTGAGTGAAATCCCAAATGTGGGCATGATGCGAACCACTCACTCACGACATGCTCGTCTATCTGTTTTTTCACATCGGGCAGGTTGATTTGTAGGATGTCCAGTCAAGGGCAATATCAATATCAACCTCGACTTCCAAGTGGTATGCTGCGGTGATTGACGACCTCTCCTTTGCGGCGCTAGATCTTCTGGTATCATAAAGGCAAGCCAATCACAGGGACCGAGAAGGCCTGAGAGCCGGAGCTCCGTCAGATTTCGCGGCCATTTTATCGCATCGCAAGCAAGAAATCCGGAACCCGTCGCATTGCAACAGTTGCCAATCGCAAAAACGACAGCAAGCTCACGGACAATTGCTCCCGACATGCAGGTTTTGCCAGTGATAGTGTGCGATTGTATGCAATTGACGGTTTCGGACGAGAGATGTCGGCCCGCCGCGTGTTTAGGGTTGAGGCTCCCTAGTAACATCCCATCCATATGGGGTTTATTTTTTTCTGACCGCGGGCAGATAACGTTCCGTCAGATTCCTTCCAGGGAATTAACGTTGCATACATTCGCAAACCGCCCTGGCATAATTTGCATGTCTATGATGTTGGCCCGCAATCTCACATATCACCAGAAACCTGCGGTCCAAGACAGGCCACCCACTCTGAACAGTGGAAATAGAAAGTCTTGTGGGGGTTAGGGAGAGGGGGGAAATCTCAAACCGAGTGTGATTGTGAGGAGATTCGTTTCCGCGTTTTGTGGGCCCTACACAAGAATAACACTCCAGCATTTTGAAACAAACATGCGAACTATATTCATTATAAAATACTGTCTGTTACATATCTACTTGGCAAGATAAATTATAATAATTGGAGTATTGAAAATATTAACAACAATGCAGTGATTTCTGTTACGAATAGTAATGTTCGAACATTACTGTGCATTCCTCACCGCAGCTAAGGAAACACGCAGTAACCAGAACGAATCCCAAGTGACACGAATAAGTAATATTTGATATTACTGTGCACTCCTCACAGGGCCCAAAATTGGTTTAGGCCTACCCTTACAAATCAGGGTTCCAGCCCCTCCTTAGCCGGACCCCTAGGGTAAAAATTTCCGTACGCTGTTTGCAGCAGGGTAAATCATCCTATAGCCTGATTTGAGCAGGGTAGTTTTAGGCTAAGCCTGTTTAGGCTACTATTTTGTGAGCTCAGATTTTTATACTAACATAATAAAGTAGCACTCACAACAGGGTCTGACAAGGTGAATCTCTTGTGTAAGGGCGAATCTGCTCTTGTGTCAGGGTGTTCCGCTGTGATTGGGCAAATTTTCTGCTCTCTGACAGCGCAAAACTGTGATTGGGCGAATTCGCTGTGCTGTGACAGCACGAAAAAACACATGCTCTTGTTTGTGGGGGTGTGGAACGTTTTGTCATCACGCGGACTATGGACTGATTCGCGTTAGATTGGTTTCGGTAAAACGGTAGTGTACACCCTACCCTTTTTCCATCAGGCTAACCTAAAAACCCATCAGTGTAAAAAAACACATGCTCTTTTTAGAGAAGGGTAACTATCGGCCATTCCTAATTTCGGCAGGGTATTCCTGAAAAAGCGGCCGGCCCCCAGGGTAATCAGGGTGTTTTACCCTGATATTTTGGGCCCTGACTCCTTTCCGCAGTAAAGAGAAGCACGCAGTATCGGGAATGAACGCGAAGCGTCAGACGGTTGGAATTGAATCGAAGCGTCGGACGGTTACAGCGCATCAGGACCGTCGGGAGCAGACGACATCGGGCAGCTGCAGGCAGGATGGTTTTGGCGGGAACAGTTACGAAACTGTACGCGCCGCACGGTTGGAGATGTATTTGAATAAGGGAATGTACCCCTTAGAATACATGGCTAGCTAGGTCGTTTCGTCTTCCCTGTACTCATATTTATATTTCCTGTATTTGCATGTTTTAATCATCTCAAGCATTTTACATTCACTCTGCTATTGAGGTCAAAGGGCCCACCAACTCTACCTTACTGCGTGCGAACCTTCCTGAGTAGATCCTGGTCTACGATCAACCTTCTGATCGCAGCATGGTATGAGAGCGGCTCGGGAATCCTTCGCACTGCCACTCCCGAAAATTGCGACATTCGGAAAGTGGCGTCCGGCACATGCTCACGAGTGAAGATGGCCGGAGGATCTGGTGGTCAGACTAATCTGACGGCTGAAGCGCAACCCAATCCGGCTGCGACAAGCGAGAACACGACGACGATCGGCACCGAAGTTCTCGCACAACTTCTTCAGCGACTCACCAGCTTGGAGCAAGGACTCCAAACATTGCGGAATGGCGACGCGGGAACATCCTCGCAACCTTCTCAACCGGCCCCAACTGGCCAGAACGCCACCCCGCAAACATTCTCCCTCGACACCAATGGCTCAACCCCCAAGACTCCCCGTCCCAGTGAAGAGGCAATTGCCTCTGCTCAATCAAGGTTTCTCAGCATAGTAAAAATAAAGACAAGTACATGTTTTGACGGCAGAGATTTTTATACCTGGAGCTTCGAGTTGGAGCTCCTGCTGCAGAACGCCCAAATCTTCCATTACTTCGACGGGAGCTACGCGGAGCCTGCTGAGGACACCGACGACGCCAAGGCAAGGTATTACAACGAATCGCTGATGGCGTACGGGGTGCTCCTGCGGAACATGTCGCCGGCGGAGCAGCTCAACATTCGTTCGTACAAGACCTGGGCTGCTCCAGCCCTTAACGCCTGGCGACATCTGACAGGAGTGTATCAGCCCAAGGACTCCGTCTCTTCGAGCCGACTACTCCAGGAACTACTCGAGACTAAGATGACGGCAGGGGAGAAGGTCAACAACTACCTTAATCGCTGTCGGAGCCTTCGCGATCAAATCGTGAAGCTGGGAAGCTTGATTTCGGAGGAAATCTTCGTCAATATTGTGCTTCAACGGCTCGGCCCAGAGTGGCGGCCCTGCAAGGCGCTTCTCCGACAGCAGGGGGTCATCTCGGAGGCCGCCCTTTGCGCCGCCCTTCTCGTCGAACAGAGGGATATGGATCAGCAGCGACCAGCGCCGCGACGAGAACGCGAACGGCTCGCCTTCTACGCCGACAACACCGAAGAGCGAAAGCCACGGCGCCTCTACTGCAAAATCTGCAGAAATTTCGGGCATCTGGCGGATCGATGCAAGTTCCGATCTAGCCCTCGCCAGACCAATCATCACAAAAAACCTGGGTTTTTGAAGGGGGTTCGAAGGGGTGTACATTTCAGGTGTTTTGGTTGGCGAAGTTTCAAAACGAAATCGCGACCAATCACGGACCGAAATCGGACCGCGTTTGTTTGTTGGAGTTGGATAGCAAGTTCGGAATGTCGTACATTGTCGGTTTTTCGTGGCTTGCCAAAATGATTATCAATTTGGATTGGATTGTTTTGGCCTTGACTTCAAGTAAGTTTGACAGTGCAGAATTAAGCTGCCTATTTTATTACTAGATAAATGCATCACATATGATACTTATTTAGGAGATAGGTACTGTCCAGATGGAACGCCTTCACCACATGGACGTGGCGAAGCAGCGCTTCAAGCGGAATCACGGAGTACGCATACACTCCAGTCGTCCACTTGAGGCGAGTGCATCCAGTTGCAGCATCCTCCCCACACGCATTCCAATATCTAACGTAAGCCAGCTCCTCCCTCTCTCCACGGATTTTGGTGTGGAACAGCAGCAGCAACCTTGCGTACCACTCCTCTCTCCGACCGTACCTTACACCCTCTACTGCAACATCCGAGTACCACGGCCGCTCAAAATAGTCAGGTGTCGCCCGAACGAAGTGAGAAACCCTTGAGAAGCTGGCATCATCTGCCGCTGGGATGGCCAACGATGCATGGGCCTGCACAACAATTGCAGTGTGTGATCAGTTTAGGGTTTGGGGCACGAAAAGAATGATTGTATGATCCACGAAGTACTTACCCTGATCTTGGGGGCGCATCCTGCATAACGTACTAGCGCATCCTTGAGGGCAGCTTGTGCAACAGGGTGTTGCATGGCCCACTTCCTTGCAAACCAGTTGGTGGAGGTGGGTTCTTCTGGTAACTCCACAGGGAGTAAGTAGGACTCTTTGATAAGAGTCCTTGTGCCTGTCTCAATGGCCTGCCAACAAACAGTGGCGACTTTATTACATTATGCATGCATATCCTTGCAATTCAATCACTAGACAGGTTTACCTGCCGCATGGCAGTGTCCCGGCCAAGGGGATCATCCACCGGCACAACGTCCGGGATGCGCCTAGCATGGAACTTCATAATCTGCCCATCTACATTGCGCTTGTTGGACCGCCGGTAGATCCTCTTTACCAACGGGCCATGCAAGTGCTCGAACATGTTGGTGCTGAATTCCGTGACGTGTCCAGCGCGGCGAATGGAGTCGATGTAGTGCGACATGAGATGGGTTTTCACAAGGCACCAAGAGGATGGCTGCTTTGGGAAAGCAGCCTGCAACTGCTCAACCAGCCTGATGGGAGTGGGAGTTGACAGCATATGCAAGGACATGAGAGTCTAGTACTATAGCCTACTGCAGCCTACTTTATTTGATATACTATCATGTTTTATCAGCAACAACCTGAGAAGATAGGTTACTACAACAGCTTAAGTGTCTTGGCCAGGCATTCATGCAATGCCTAAGGGTAGTACATGCATGTTAATAGTACCGGGAGGTCTTCTTCTTGAGATCCCGCAGGGACCGCTCGGTGTGCCCCGTTGGCTGGCAACACAAGAGGTACCAGCCAAGGTAGGCACGAACAGCATCCATCTGGGGCTGGCGAAGCAGGCCAGCAAAGACAAACACCATGACCTGCAAATTGCGGGGTTTATGACGGCAGGGGGGCATGAGAAGTTGAGCAAACGGGTTTGGTGGCGGAATTGTTGCAAAGCAGGAGAGAGGGTACTGAGATGCAGCAGGGGGTGTGTTGTAGTCTAGAACCGGCAAGCTGCTTCTGCATGGTGCATGCTATCGCACAAGATGATCACATGCACCATGGCTTGCACACCTGCATGACGGCCCTGTGCTCATAGGCCGCGACACATGCTCCACTCTCGAAGTACGCGCTCTCTGGCAGGCGCAGGTGGTTCAGGCGCGTGCGGTCGCGAATGAGGGACAGGCGCCTGCGCATACACAACAGTTCAAGGCCGGCACAAATGCAGAGACATGTAAGTAGGAGGAGAGTGCGTATTGGAGTGTTGTTGACAAGAAACTAATCCCCCAAGGCACTGACCTGTCCATCTGCTTCACGCGCCGCTTCTTCATCTTGCGCACGACAGCCACAATGTGGCTCATCATGCCCAGGTCCGCCTGGTGCATGATGTCAGGCATGATAACGAGGTAGGGATTGCCCCACACGGTCCCTGGGACATCTTACTTCCACAGCACACACTGGCGGAGGGGTTGTGGTGTGGAATGGTAGAGAAGGGTATATGAGAGACTCGGCCAACATGTGGGGCAATGCAATGGCAGTGCACATCTCCCCCTGGGTTTAGCAACACGGAGTGCATAGACTACAAATTAGCGAAGGGGACAGGTCGCTCACCTCAACCGGGTAGGTCGAGTAGGTCTTGCATGGGTCGGCCTGGCTTGATGTCAACCCAGCCGCCTCATTCACGATCCATTGCTGCTGTTCAGGCGTGCGCGGCGTGTTCCGTGCCTTGACAGCAACCAAATGCTCCTGGTGTAGCACGGGGGGTTGGAAGGGATGAACAGGTAAGGGAGGTAAGATTGGAGGTCCGTCACGTGCCATTCAGATGACGATGGTGCTGAAGGCGCGCAGCTGGCATGTTTGCTCACCTTTGCAGCATAGCAGATGCTGCACGGCATCCGCGATCCATGCGAGAGTGTGCAACTGATCTTGCCGCTCTCGGGGTAGTCGCACACCCAGGCGTACAGCAGTGGCCGCACTGTTTGCCAATCGCCGAAAGGGTCCTTGAGACGGAGGCCGCTGCGAGGAACGGGTAGAGTGGGAACAGCAACAGCCAGGACGACTCTGTGCATCAGCGAGGAGGGGCAAAGGGTAATGCAACATACAAAAACGCTGCGCACGCTATGCTGTTGCTACGGTGACGACATAGCATGACGGAAATCGAGTACGGACCTGTCCATGCCATCAAGAAGCGGCTGCAGCACGGTGATGACGCATCGCTGGAAGAGCATCACCTTCTCGACGGCAGTCATTGCAGAAGGGGGGATAGGAAGGAGAGCAAGTAGCGTGTGCCCGGCTTTCCCCCATCGCTTGGCCTGGGAGATGTTGGCAAGCGTCATCATGAGCGGCCACGCCTTCTTCCGGCCGTTGTTGCTCATGTGCGTCACATCCGAATACAGGATGATACCCCCCACGACTTCGGACCATCCGAAGTGTTCCTGCATTGCACGACAAAGACGGAAACAACACACGGTCAAACACCATCAAGGTAAAGTGTCGCCAGGCGGATTGAGCCTGATACAAAAAACTCCCCACGAAGATGACGCACTGAAGATGCTGCCTACACATCAGCGCATCAACGGACGCATGCGCACGCGTGTGGTTTTGGGTGGCAGCGGGGTATTTACATACCTGAGCATCGTTCCACCACGTTCCTGTTTCTGGCGTGGTATAGCGACGCTCGCCTGTGTCAGGGTCCTCATCAACACGAGCCTTGAGCTTGAAGCCGGGTGCGTTGTTGGTGTGCCCAAACAGTTCAGCAAACGCCTGGAGTGCGGGAACAAGAGCGGGAGAGAACCAAACCCTGGTTTAGTGGCGGGAGCGTTTCACGGGCCAGATCGCACACATGCCTAACAAAGGCAACATTCCCAACAAGCTCCACAAGGATGCGGAATCTGTAGTTCGCATCCACGGTTCCAGAGTCGGCTTACCTGCGCGGAGTTCTGGAAGAGGAGGCGGTTTGGCGGATGACCCTCAATCTCGAAGGTCGCCACTGACCATCCGCGATTGAGCCCTACCAAGCGCTCCATCTCGAACCGCTCCAGATCCTTGCAGTTCCGGATCTCTGAGATCACAAGAGGCGCAAGGCCGGGCTCCACCACGAGCTGAAGCAGGCCATTGATGTCGATCTCCGCCATGCCCATTCCGCCATTTACGCGCCTCACGAAATGCAGCAGTTTCAACGCAATCGGACTGAGGGGCGTCGCATTGCTCTCCCCGGAAATGATTGTCGGCGGTGCCGCGTGACTCACTCCAGGGCGGCACCCCTGATGCTCACTCGTGTCATCTGCAGGTGTTTCTGGTGATGGTTGATGCTCAGATTCAGGAGCCCCCACGTTCACAGCCGAGGGTGTTGCGTCCTCGTCAGCTACCGGGACGCGAGGAGGACCATTCACACCGTCGGTGTTGGACGCGTTAGACGCGGTAGGGGAAGCGGGAGCAGCGGGAGCGTCCGACAGAATGTCGTGGACGAATAGCAGTGCGTGTAGACCGGCTGACGGTGCAGATCGCGAGGGCCTTGCCACGGCGGAAAGGCCTTGACAAGGGGTCCGCCGTGACTTATGACCGCCATAAACTTGGGCGTTGGGGAACCATCTGTTGCAGAACTCGCAGACGACGCCAGGCAAGGAGCCCATGCTTTACGGATCTGTCTAAGTGTTGAGAAATGGCCTGTGAAGCAACTAGCGTCGTGGGAAGCTTGAGAAGGCATTAAGTACACCGTTCAAGAAGGCTGTTAATGCAACCAGGTCATCGCCAAACCGCGCACTGTCGAAGGCGGCTTGTATCACTGCACGACTGGCACTTGAGCGGGCCGCTTAACGATGTTTGGGACTAGCAAACGATGTTCGAGCCGCGCGGTCGTGACAAGGCACGGTACAGACCGCTCACAGCACGGATCGTCTTCCCTACAAGGCGTGTCGCCCCCGTTTAGACAGACCACGTCGTGAGCAGCGGGAAATGCGCCTGATCTTAAGACGGTGGGTCGTGTGTGTGCGTTGCGAGCATGGTGAGAACGACGTGCCTGTGGATTCACGCACCCTTGGTGCATGAGAGTCGAGTGGGATGAGGAAGAGCGGGAAGAGATCCGTTTGGATCTGTGATTCAGTCGCGAAGCGTTATAGGGGGGAAATCGTGCACACGTAAGTGAGCGCATAGTGTTGCGCTTGACCATAGCCCAAATACAATGATAGTACATTGTAGAATTGTTTTTTCTCTACACAGTAAAGTCTTTGTTGATAACTAGGACATAGTCATATGAAAAGACCTGCTCGATATCCACCCCTAGTTGACAACGTGACAGTCTGAACACCATATCCTCTCATCTCTTGTGTGATCTGGCTACATACGGGAAGTACACAAGAACTCCGTGCCCTCACGATAACGCATCGCCGCTTGTGCGTTGGGCCTCTCATTCATACCCCTTAGAGGCACCTACTTGAATATCTGTCTAAGGCTAGAGGACAATCCAACACCGTACCACAACGGACTCACCTTGTTGCGCAACACCCAAGGCCTGACCGCTACAGCGTCGCCTGTTTAGACGCTGCGGTCGACAACGCACCCTCGCTCGTGCGTTGGACCTGTGCTTCATTCCACACCCTCTATACACCATGTCGAGGGCCCACGCAAGGATAGAGCCCAAGCCAGCACCATTCCATTACGGATTCACCATCTCGCGCAAGCCCTGTATGTCTGCGAACGCTGCAACGTCGCCGCGTTGGAACAGCGCTGTCGATAACGCACCCTCGCTCGTGCGTTGGACCTGTGCTTCATTCCACACCCTCTATACACCATGTCGAGGGCCCACGCAAGGATAGAGCCCAAGCCAACACCATTCCATAACGGATTCACCATCTCGCGCAAGCCCTGGATGTCTGCGAACGCTGCAACGTCGCCGCGTTGGAACAGCGCTGTCGATAACGCACCCTCGCTCGTGCGTTGGACCTGTGCTTCATTCCACAGCCTCAATACACCATGTCGATGGCCCACGCAAGGATAGAGCCCAAGCCAACACCATTCCATAACGGATTCACCATCTCGCGCAAGCCCTGGATGTCTGCGAACGCTGCAACGTCGCCGCGTTGGAACAGCGCTGTCGATAACGCACCCTCGCTCGTGCGTTGGACCTGTGCTTCATTCCACACCCTCTATACACCATGTCGAGGGCCCACGCATGAATTTACACGCCAACACCACACCACATCTCCATTCCAGTTGGCACTAGTACACGTCGTGCCTGAACAAGTTCCAACGACCGGTATCCGTCGCCAACCCTGAATGTGTGCTCAGTATAGCATTCCATAGTCCACGAGTTGGTAGGTCAAAGAGCGTGTCCGATGCCAGATGCACTCCCTAGACTTAACACAACATGACACCACAAGCGGCCAAGTTCAATACAAATGGTTTTAGTTGTTCTTTGCAAGTGTATTCTGCTCCTATGTTTAAATTTGATCAATGCACATTGGCACTGTATTTTGCAGGATGCGATGATTGGTGGTGTCGAAACGGTACTAGATTCTGCGGAGATTGATGCGAGCGGCGCTGATTGGCCGACGCATCTCAAACGACCCCCCTCCCCATGACCGGACCAGCCAAGCTGGACATTCGCCGCGGAAGCAGCGGCTGTGATCCCGCGTTTAGTGGGTTATTGATCGGGTGGCTAATCGTAGACCGTCCGATTGTGCCTGTCTGCTTACAGTCCCTTCTCTAGACTCGCAAACCACCCCAACGACCGTCGTGCCCCACTCACCATCTTCCGTCACCCTCATACCCACTACCTTGACGCCGCTCGATGCTGAACACAGGTGTTTCCAGATCGCCAGTGAGTCAGAGTAGCGACGAAGCAAAGGGCTGACGCCATGTGCTTAGTAGCTACTTCTTCAGTTGTAACCGTACCTGAGATTTAGGGTGAGACAGTATTGGCTTGACCGGGACGGAGTAAATTAGTAACAATCCTTTCGGCTATTTTCTAAAGCTGGCTAAACAATCCCGCAAGTTATAACTTGCATTCGTACAACCCTCATGACACGTGCAACTCGGCAAACAGAAAAGGAGAAGGAGCAGGCAAAACGACGCACGACACGGCGGATGTCGATACAGACCGACCATGAGGGTGGGGCCAGATCTAGGGCTACTAAAGCGGCCGCCGCGCAAACCAACCAAAGGAAACGTGCGGCGGGGAAGAAGGCTGAGGTTGGAACGAAGAAGTCCGGGAAGAAGGCGGAGGACAAGGGGAAGCAACCAACGGCACGCAAGCGTGTTTCGGCCGTGAAGAGCGATGCGGGTGTTGCCACTGCTGCCCTCGAGCCCGGTCCTTCCGACGACGGCACCATCGGCGGGAACGAAGACCCTGGGCGTGGCGGCGTGAGTGTTGCCGTCCGGCCGGGGGACGGAGAGGGCTTGGCAACTGGAGGAAAGCACGACGAGGCTCCCGGCGACGACCAGGCCGCAACTGTGGTGTCCGTGGCAGAGGCATCACAGCAGCATATGACGCTGCCCCCCCCCCCGTGGTCGAAGTATCTGCTGCAGTGATAGATAAGGAGAAGAATGCCGCGCACGATTGCACGGAGGAGTCGAAACACGACATTGCGGACGTCAGTGGATCTCCTCCCTCTGGGGGACGCGGGAGGCGTAGGCAGAGGAAGAGCGATGGGGAGGAGGAGTATGACACCCCCGTGGCCGAGGACATCCCCATACGCGCAAAGAGGAGGCAGACGACAGCCAGCGGTGACGACGCCGGTGGTGCTGAAGTTGGGACAACGCGAGGCACCACGGAGCCAAGTGGCTTGGCGACAGATCATGCTTTGCGGCAAAAGGGCCGACCCGGTCCGCAAAAACCATCTAGCGGACGGGGGGGCAAGCAAGCCTCGAGGGGGAAGAGGCCGAAGCGTGGCAAAGAAGGCCCTGGTGAAGCGGATGTTGAGGACGAGGGGGATGGGGAGGAGGAGGCCGAGGAGGATGCGGAGGAGGAGGACGAGGATGCAGGGGAGGAAGAAAAGGACGAGGATGAGCAGAAGACGACGATGATGAGGAGGAGCAGGAGGATGAGGATGGCGACGAGGGGAAGGAGAAGGAGGACGATGAGGATGAGGATGAGGACGAGGAGGAGGACGATGAGGGGGATGACGAGCCTGAGGAGGAAAAGAGTGAGGAGGAGGAGGAGGAGCAGGAGGAGGAGGAGGAGGATGAGGAGGAGGAGGAGGAGGAGGAGGAGGAGGAGGAGGAGGAGGAGGAGGAGGAGGAGAGGAGGAAGAGGAGGAGGATGATGGTGAGGAGGAGGATGAGGAGGAGGAGGACGACGTGGAGGAAGAGGAGGTGGAGGAAGGGGCGGATGAGGAAGAGGAGGAGGATGAGGAGCCGGCAGGGAAAGGACGGGGCGCGCGAGGCAGACGGGGGAGTGGCACAGGGAAGGTGGGGGGCCGGTCTGGTCAATCCCGGAAACGCGGGGCGGTTGACGCAATGCGTGGCGGCCCAACGGGCAAATCGAAGGCGCGTAAAGTGAAGGTCGAAACTGACCGGGGTGGAAGGAAGCAAGGGAGACAGGGTGGGGCAGGCGATGGAGAAGGAAAGGGAAGGCGCGCGAAAGGGGTACCTGTAGGTTCGGCAAAGAAGGAACCTGCCCGTAAACGAGGCAGCACCCGCCGAAGCACACCGCGGAAAGGGGGCAACGATAAGGAGCAGGCAGCAAAACCGAAGGGACAGCAACGAGGTACGCAAAGTGTCACAAACGCATGGCATAGCTGCCGTGGTTTGTGATGAACAGACCCTAACAACACCGTGTTCCACCCCGTGTTTCCCCGCCGCAGGGAAGGAGAAGGTTGACGAATCGGCTAAACCGGGTAAGGCGTGACTATACACTACAGTTCCCAGCTACACCCCTGTCTGAATCATGCGGTTACTCGTTTGCGTGCATGTGTCCAAATGTACATAGCAGACACCATCTCCGTGCTCATCCTCCGTGTGACTCTCAGCCCCCCGTGTTACAGGCATTGGGCCACCGGTAAGCGTGCAACGGATGCAGCTAACGAAAGGGGCCGGAAGAGCGAGTGTGGCACCGCTATCCACAGGAGCACCAAGGTTCTTCACGCCATACTCCGGCCCGAGCAAAGTCGCTGCGACTGCACCCGGCGCGGCTACAGGAGAGGAATCCGAATCCCCTCCACCAGCCCCCGTCACGCACTCCCCACTCGCCTCTCCCTCTTACCCATTTCGGCCACTACACGCTTCTCCTGTCCGGGGCAGGGCGGTCTCCCCCCTCGCTGGTCCATCGCGCGGGCATCAACCAAGCACTTCTGCCAATCCCTTCCCTGAGCCTCCCTTTCCCCGCCAGCGTGATAGTGTGAGGGCACACGGGGCTGCTGCTGAAGACGTTGATCCCCTTGGCCAGAGAGGGGTTTCTACACACCCTTTTCCGGATGTCATGGATGCGCTGGGCGAAGGTGCAGAGCATGGGCAGTTTGTTACACGAGACGAGTTCCAGCAGCTACGGTCTGAGATGTACGCCATGTTTGCTCAGCTCGGCCTGCGTCGTGGAGCAACTGCCAGCTATGCCGGGGGGACTGCAGTGGTGCCTATGGCTGGTACCCCGCCGCCGATGAGTGCCGTGGACAGGGCACGTGTGCTTGTGCTTCGGGAGACCAACCCATTCCCGGTATGTGGCGGGTTGGGGTTGACGTGGCAACCAGGGAAGGGTTGGGGATGACGTGGCGGTTGGAAAGGGTGCGCGGGAGCGGTGCAGGGCGACACGCAGCTCCACAGGTGGGCGGGGGCTGACGTGGCTCTTTCGGATCTCTGAGTGCGACGTGGCAAGTGGGTTGAGCTGTTGGTGTAGGCGGCGGACGCAAGGGCGTGTGACGTGGCAAAAAAGGTGAGGGTTGAGATATGACGTGGTGGTGCTGAACGGATGCAAGGGAGCGGCGCATGACGGGGCGAGAGCCTTCAGGTGGGTGGGGGGTGACGTGGCATGGGGTGGGTGGGGGGTAACGTGGCATGGGGTGGGTGGGTGTGACGTGGGCGGATGTGAGGGTTGGGGCTGACGTGGCGGTTTGGACGGGTACAGGGGAGCGGCGCGGGACGAGGCGACGCGTGTCCGGTGGGTGGGGGGTGACGTGGCATGGGGAGGGTGGGTGTGACGTGTCATGTGGGGATGGTCGTTGGTGGATTTGGCGGATGCAGGAGGGTGTGCCGTGGCGGGATGTGAGGGGTGGGGCTGACGTGGCGGCTTGGAAGGTTACACGGGAGCGGCGCGGGACCAGGCGACACGTGTCAGGTGGGTGGGGGGGTGACGTGGCATGGGGTGGGTGGGTGTGACGTGGCACGTGGGCCTGGTTGTTGTCCCCTGACGTGGCGGATGCAGGATGGTGTGACGTGGCGGGATGTGAGGGGTGGGGGCTGACGTGGAAAGTTCCTACAGTCCATCCTGTGGTCACTCGGCCACAGTCATTACTCATAATTTCTCTCTCCCCGTGTCGTGTTGTAAACCCCACACCCCTGCGCAGAGCAAAGCCTACTTAGTGTGCTCTCAGCTCCTGTTTCTGAACCTCTCGGAGAAAATTCAGTATTACCCTGCACCGGAGGAAGTGTTCGAGGCCTTCGCTGTCCACTTGTCTGCCGAGGGGCTAGAGTCAATGAAGCTGCTGTGGTTGCACAACGACAAGTCAACCATGGGTGTTTTCAACCACCAGATGTCATCAACCAGGTCAACAATCAACACCACCCTCAGGCCAGCAACGTACGCCGGCATGGGTCTCTCCGATTACGCCAATGCGGTGGATTGCCTGCCCACTGAGCTACACCCAAAGAAGTGGTTCAACGACGAGCAACTCCTGGCGGAGTACAGAGATGGTATGTGCGTCTCAAACACACCATATCCCCCTGCCCATAAGCCAGTCAGCAGCTACAAATAACCGTGTCGTGGTACTCTGACCCTGTCTCTCACCCCCCCACCTGATCTATCTGCACCCCCTTTCCAACCCATACGCTCCCTCCAAAATGCAGAACAGTGGGCCCTCAACTGGCACTTTGACAAGGCCACCGGAACACCCTTCAGCAACCCCTTGTTTGCTTATGCGTTCAAGCTCTCCTTCAAGAGGAGCGGGGTCGTGTTCACCAAGTTCAAGAGCCGCATGGTGGCATGGGGCCTGTTTTCGGTAAGGAGGTAGATATGTGTCTCTACACCCATGCATCATCCCCTAAACCCCTTGCCTGTACTTCATCTAAATCCCTGGTCGCTTAGGCGTTTGCGGTTACGTAGGATGTGTCGTCTTCACCTGGTTCAGCTGGAGCATATACTCGTTACCCCCCCTCATACACCATCCACCCAACCCTACACCACATTGCAGATCGAGTGGCCCCTTCTGCAGGACAAGCGCCGCAAGCGAATTCCGGCCCAGCCGGAACAAAACAGGCCGGACTACTTCGAATGGTGTGACAAGGTCAAACAGATGATACACTTTGCCGTCGTGGAGCGACGCATCCCACACGATCCGGCTCGGGGTGCGTTCGTCTTCCCGAACAAGTTCCTCATCGACGATGGCGACCTTGGAGATGTTGTTCTTGCCCACCGGGCGCTTGCAGGGCCCACCATTGAGTAGGCTATTTCACTAGGTGTTAAAACTGCTTGTTGTTACAATGCTGAATAATGGTTGCTGTAAACCGGAATATTGAATGTAATTCTGAGATCCTCAAGCCCATAAAAAAAAAAAAAAAAAAAAAAATCTATTTTAAATGATCTGGTCACGAAATTGCACCAAAACGGATTGCGCGCGAATGTCTTCCGGAAAAGCACGCGTGCCAATTTGGAACTTGACCCGAGCCAAGCCTTGTCGCGAGATGTGTGTCGGAGCTCCTATCAAACGACTCCAACCGTCGGTCGAAATTGGGTCCGGATTTTTTTACGCGAAGACAATCGCAATCAAAATTCGTCCAAACTTGGCATAGGGTTTTTGTGATGATCCAAGCAACTGGTCCGGTCGACAAGACGCACGAGGCGACGTGCGTCCAGCCCAGGGGTATCAACCCCCACCCGCGCGCAACCTGAACCCAGCGGTTCAGCATCAGCAGCAGCAGCCGTCATCGACTGCCCCAGTTCGCAACGTCATGAGCAACATGGCCATGACAGGCGAGTCGCGTCGCCGTCGTGTGCGCTCACCCTCACCTGAGCCGGCACCGCATCCCATTGGCGCATTCAACAACAACAATCCGTTCAGTCCGCGCCACGATTTCACCGACGACGACGACCAGGACTGGAACCTTCCAGTCCCGCTGCTTGAAAGTCCCCCGCACGTACCTGATATGCTGGTGTCGCCACTTGATTGGCTCTCGCGAGAGCAATTTCTGAAGTTCGACACCCCGCACATCGTCACGCCGCGACTGGCGCTGCTCGCACGTGACGACAACAAGCGCTACAACACCTGGTACCTGGACAGCTGCTGCGGCCAGCACATGGTGGGGTCCGAGCGTTACATATCCAACGCCGTCCCCACCCCTACCGTCACTTACGTTACCGTGGCGAACAATACGCGCCTGCGCGCAAGCGCGCAAGGCATCGTCGTGCTCAAAGCACGTGGAAGCCGCACGCACATCACGCTTAATGATATGTTGATCGTCTAGAACCTGCGCTTCAACCTACTGTCCGCCGCACAGCTCATGGATTGCGGCGTCGACCTCAGCACGGACCGCGCGACGCGAGACATCGTGCTGCGCTACGAAGCGCGCAACTTCCCCCGCAGGCAGATTGGTCGAGCGCACTCCGAAAATGGAGTGTACGTCCTGGATTTCGACATCCCCGACTGCAGCGGCGACTCGCGCGAGCTGATTGACCTCGTGCCACTGCGCTTCGAGCACATCCACCGCAGGGACTGGAAGCACCCTGACGGCAGACCGTGGGTGCCGCATCATCCCCACCCACGCGAAACGACACTGCACGACCCTGGCCCAGATGGAATCTGCAGGGACTGTCAACGGCGTCGACGGCGCAATTGGCGGCCGTGGACTCGCCGCCATCGCTGAAGCAGAGCGTCACGCGCCGCCAGAGGAAGGAATGTCTCAGCTCGAGCTCGAAGTCACCACTCAGCGCGTCTTCGGACCCAACCAGAGCCCCCACGAAAGGGCCACCCTCTCAACGACTCGAAGGTATTCTGCGCGGACGGAGGCGCGGAACCTTCGATACGCACGGCTTCGCACGCCCCTACACCCTCAAGCAATTTATGAAGGTGTACCCCCACTGGCGCGACCCCACGGCAAAACTCACCGTGGAACAAGAGGAATAATTGGCGCGTCACGAAGCTGAGGAACTTCACCAACAAAGCCTCGCAGAAGCGCGCGGGACATTCGCTTGCGGCACATGGGGAGCCGGAGCGGAAGAGAGTGCCTCCAATGAAGGGGGTGGGGAAGCGCTGGCGGATGGGGGACGGGCGACACTGGCGGATGGGGAGACACCGGCGGAACCTGGGCGAGCGCAAGCGGCGGATGGGGCGTCGCGTCTGGTGGCGACGCCAGCGGCTGGGGAGCCTCCCGCGAAGAACAAAGGGGGGGAGAAGAAGAAACAGAAGCAGTTGAAACAATACCCGCAGTTGTTCCCCTCGGTCGTCCCCCGCGCCAAACTCCACTTGCACTACCTCCCCCTGACACTCCGTTGCACCACGACCCGTGGGACACCATCCACTGGGGCAACGAACCATCAACCCTGCGTCGCAAAGTCTACGGACCTGCTCCCAACCCGCGCGAACCTACCTTCGTCCCTGGAACCATCCCTGGGACTAACATCCCGCTCTCTGAAATTCGCGACAGAGAGTTCTTGGCGCTGATGCTGACTACCGCGGCAGAAGAAGAAGAAGTAGAAGAAGTAGCAGCAGAACAAGCTCCCGTACCTGACGAAGACCTAGAGGAAGAGCGCGAGCGCTACATGCGCACCTCCGGCTTTCGCGCTGACGACGCACTCTGGCACCGGCGCGTCGGACACCCTTCTCGCGCGACGCTGAAAAACTGCAGCGACGCAGGCGTCTTCGCTCCTGGCGCACTCCTGCGCCCTGATGGCTCCGAAGTGAGAGGCGCGACGCATCCGCGCAACTGCACCGTCTGCCCTGAAGCTGCGCTGAGCCACCAACCGTTCCCGCTGCTCGAACCTGGAACGAACCGCTACCCCAAGCTGCACAAGGTATACAACGACTTCCTGAACAGGGGGCACTACGGAGTAGAAGACGAGATGTACACGCTTACCTTCATCGACGCTGGAACGCGCTACGTGTGGGTCGCAAACGTCGAATCGCGCGACAGAGCCTATGAGGTTTTTCGCCTCTGGCTGGTGCATGCGGAGCGGCAATCTGGGAAGAAACTCAAGATCTGGCAATCTGACGGCGCGGCAGAGTTCAGGAGCAACCAGATGCAGACCTTCCTGGCGCAAAAGGGGATCGAGCACCATATTTCTCTCCCCTACGCGCACCAGCAGCAGGGCGTAGCTGAGCGGACGAACCGCACGCTGATGACGAAGGTGCGCGCGCTGATGAAGCAGTCGAAACTGCCGCCGATTTACTGAACCTACGCGATGCTCCATGCCGTGCGGGTGCACAACCTGCTCTCGACCACCGCAATCACCGGCAACTTGTCCCCGCACGTTAAGTGGACTGGGACGAAAGGGGACACATCGATGCTCCGCGTGTGGGGGTGCATGGTGCAGTACCGCCCGCCAACGTCAACCATCGGCAAATTCGCCAGCCACGCGTGCTGGGGAATTCATCTCGGCATCAGTCACGAGTACAAGGCGTGGATCGTGCTGGACCTCCTCAGCCAGAAAACTGCCCATGCGCGCGACGTAATCTTCTACGAGCGCCTCTTCCTCGAGCAATTCCGCCACGACGAGCAGACAAACGCGAACCGCGTTTACGCCAACGATGGCCACAGCTACGCAACGCCTGAAGACGAAGCCGACGACGTGCAGGAAGTTATCCCGCAACGTCGCCACGACAGCACCGTCTCAGGACTGCAGCTGCTCGGGCTTCACACCGCAACCTCGAAGGCGCCGCGCATCATCGAGCCCCGAAACCCGCGCGAAGCTCTCTCGGGCGCAAGAATTCTCTCGGGGAGGTGGGACTTCCGTGTGAAGACCGCAGCGGATGGGACGATCGAGCGCTTCAAGGCGCGTTGGGTGGTTCGCGGCTACGACCAGAGGCACAGGATCGACTTCGACCAAACATTCGCCCCAGTTAGCCGCCACACCTCCGTCCGCATCCTGCTCGCTATCACAGCCGAAAGGCATCTACCACTTCGCCAGATCGACGTGAAGAACGCGTTCCTGTACGCGTTAGTGGACGCTGTGATTTACGTGGAGCAGCCACACACCTACGGTGAAGAAGACTCGCGTGTGTGTCAGTTGCGCAAGTCACTCTACGGCATCAAGCAGGCTCCGAGACCGTGGCAGCAGTACCTGCACAACATCCTGCTTGAAATCGGGTTCAAGCAGATGCCGCACGATCCAGGGATGTACCGCCGCGACTTCCGCGGCGAATACATTCTCCTCACGGTGTACGTCGACGACCTGCTTTACACAGGCTCAAACAACGAGCTTCTCGAGCAGTTCGAGAAGGCCTTGGCAGGGCGCGTCGATATCACATGCAACTACGAGGTGAAGCAGTTCCTAGGCCTCAACATCTCCTACGCACCTGAGGCCATTCACCTCTCAGCGGCTAAGTACGCAGAGGAGCTAGGGAAGCGGTTCAACATCTCACCTGCACCCCTCTCAACTCCCTACCGAACCCCTGGACCGAACCACAAACCCGACAACAAAGCCCTATCCCCTGCTGGGATTCAGACTTACCAGCAGCAGTTGGGATGCCTCCTCTTCGCCTCTGTCACCTGCAGGCCAGACCTCTCGTACATCGCTAGTCAGCTGGCGCAGTACTCACGCAAACCAACGGCTGAAAATCTACTGGATCTGCAGCGCGCTCTTCAATTCTTCGTTTCAACGCCCAAGATTGGGCTGTGCTACTCAACTGCACCAACCCCATCCTTCAACCTTGTTGGCTACGTGGACGCCGATCACGCAGCAGATCCCGATAATCGACGGTCCAGGACTGGCTTCCTGTTTCGACCCGAGCCAACGGGGCCAATATTCTGGATTTCACAGAAGCAGTAGTTGGTTGCCTTGTCATCAGCCGAAGCAGAATTCATCGCAGCAACCGCAGCAGTTCGCGAAGGTCTCTACCCGCAGGAACTTCTGCAAGAGGCGAAAATTCCAGCTTCGCCCACATTCCACCTTCACTGCGACAACCAGAGCGCGATTCGCATCGCGAACAAACCTGGTTTCGTCAACCGCACCAAGCACATCGCGCTGCGGTACTTCTTCGTGAAGGACGAGGTGGACAAGGGCAAGGTCAACTTGACCTACTGCCCGACCGGTGACATGGCAGCAGACTTCCTCACGAAGCGACTGCCACGCCAGCAGTATCAGCACTGCTCCGAACTCAGCGGTGTGGTCAAGCAGGTCAAGTCGAGCTACGGCCAGGAGTGAAGGGGGGTGTTACGAATAGTAATATTTGATATTACTGTGCACTCCTCACCGCAGCAAAGAGGAACACGCTGTATCGGGAATGAACGC